GATTTTGTGGGTCAAACTGATGAGGACCAGGGCACAGACGCTGAGATTTGCACCATAGCTTCAAATTTTGACGCAGAGGCTACGCAGTCTTCATCCGCCTCTGGGTCTAATAAACCCGAAGGTGTGTACAATATAATTGTTATTTTGTTTTAATTGTTGTGCGTGGAACTGTGGTGGCGGTAAAGTAAGAAGGGCATTAGAAAGTATTAACATAGAAAGACCCTATGTGGCAGTGTTGATCAGCTGGATTGGATTTTGATAAATGTAAATGTGGATATGGGTTAATTACACATGAAAGTAGACTCATCTTATATTGGCCATGTCCTGTTTATAACTGGCCTAAAACATAAAAACAGAAGAACTGCTTTGTTTTAATCTGTTATGCATCAAATTTGATTTCTTTATTATATATTTTCACAAGGCAATGAAGTGTTAACGGTGAAAAAACCTTGTGAATTTAGCATACTGTCCAAGATGTAAAATGACCTTTGAGTGTGTTATACTGAATAACATGCTAATGCCAGGTTTTGTTTCTGAGACTGATCATGCAGTGACCGATGTGTTTTATTAACAGAAACCTTTACAGTGGATGATGCATTGGAGGCAATCGGATTTGGAAAGTTTCAGTGGAAAATCTCTTTCCTCACTGGACTGTCATGGGTAATAAATCTTAAAATAAGTCCAAACAGCTTCATCAACGTGCAGATACTGCACATCTCTAACTGGATGCTGTCCCTCAGGTAGCAGATGCCATGGAGATGATGATCCTCAGCATCTTGGGGCCCCAGTTGCACTGTGAGTGGAGGCTCCCCAGCTATAAAGTGGCACTCATAACATCGGTAAAGTCCGTTTACCTTTTATTGCTTCACTAGAGATTTTTGATTATATAACATAGTCAATGACCTATTTATTTATTTATTTATTTTTGTTGGAACAGGTGGTTTTTATCGGGATGGGGATCAGTTCACCGATTTGGGGAAATGTCGCCGACAAGTACGGCAGAAAAGTAGTGAGTCTCACATCTATGATTCTGATGATTTCTCATGATTTCATGAGGTTTGTAAATGATCTCATGTATTTCCTGTATATGTGTCTGTGCTAAACAGGGTCTGAAAGTTTGTATGTGCTGGACTTTGTACTACGGCCTGCTGAGTGCCTTTGCTCCAGCGTATGGCTGGCTCTTGTTCCTGCGCGGCCTTGTGGGCTTTGGTATTGGAGGAGCTCCTCAGTCGTAAGCTTGATTCTTCCTTCATGCATACATCAGTAGTTCCTTAATGAGCAATATCCAAGAAAACAATATGAACATAAATAAAGATTTAATCTTGTTTTAGGGTCACGCTGTACTCAGAATTCCTTCCCATGAAGGCGAGAGGCATCTGCATTATGCTGATTGCGGTACTGCGGTCATTGTCTTATAAACTCTCTTTTGATAATATTAGCTGCACTGCACTATATCATCCTAACTGTTTGTCTGCATCAGGCATTCTGGGCAATCGGTGCTGTGTTTGAGGTCCTCCTGGCCTTGATGGTAATGCCTGATCTGGGTTGGAGGTGGATGCTCGGCTTATCCACAGTACCATTGGCAATCTTTGTTTGCTTCTGCTTTGTAAGTATGGCTGCAATGGGTAGAGGTCCGCCAAAATAGAAAAAAAGTTGAAAGTCACTCAGCTCAGTTTTCTGTGTTGCAAAGTGGTTGCCGGAGAGTCCTCGTTTTGATGTGCTGTCGGGAAGACGAGAAAAAGCCATGGCAACCTTAACGCGCATTGCTAAAGAGAATGGGAAGACCCTGCCTCAAGGCAGGCTGATCGCTTATAATCAGGTGGGGATGAGATTTTATTTTTTCTGGATATGAATCTAAATATATGCAGTGCTTAAATGTTCAAAATAAAATGTCTACTTTGTGTTTTTGTCTTTAATTACTCAGAATGAACGTGGACGGTTCAAAGATCTCTTTGCTCCTCAGTACTGGAAGACCACGCTGCTCCTGTGGTTTATATGGTTAGCTTAAGTGACACACTCTCTAAGATAAGCCTTCTCTATTTAAAGGGAGTCATTTTTAAATCAGTGGTTACCAGCTCGGCATCGTGGCCTTATTTTATCAAGTTTTTGATTTTTGTTGTTGTTGTGGCAGTTATAGCTTTACCATTACCACAGTGACTTGTATACAGGTAACCAGGAACGATACTTAAAATCCTGTGATGGACTGTGATGTGATTCCTAATGCAAGGGGGAGTAACAGTAGTACCTGATTGACATATTAAATGCTTTATTTTCAACTTCTCACAAAACTAATGTTCTAAAAAAAATGATCTTTTTACTTTTGTCAATAGGTTTTCCAATGCCTTCTCCTATTACGGGATTATCCTGCTGACAACTGAGCTGTTCCAAGCTGGAGATTTGTGCGCGAGTATGTTTACAGCTTCCTTTGTGCAGAGCTGCTTTTAATGTTTTCAATTGTTGAATTACAACAAATCCCAAATGCTTCCTTATAGTGACCCAAGGAGCCAAGATTGAGCCAGACTGCAGTCTTGAATGTAGATATTTAACGTCAGCCGACTACAAAGACCTTTTATGGACGACCTTGGCTGAGTTCCCAGGTAAAATACTCGCTGCTTGCAGTCTGTCAGAGGCGTGGTGTGCAGTTAAGTTGAAAGTCTGACAGCTGACATAGAGAAAATGTCCAATTTGTTTTTGGTAATTTCCCATCAACTTAATAGTAGTTATACTGTGAAAAAGTGGCAAACAAACAGTGAATTTGAAAACTATTACTGGTTTTCAAAATGTCCCTGTAATACTCTTTTCTTTTAAACTTTGATAAAGAAATGTATGTTTTTTTAATCCGTGTTTAATTGTGGGCGTGCACCTTTCCTTTTGTTCATGTCCAGATCAACATGCAGTGTATTGATTAGTGGCTCTGAGCTGCAAGAGCTTAACAGTTAATCAGCTGGAAGCATGAGCATTTATTACAGAAGTGATTTTAGACTTCAGGTACAAATAAAAAAAAGACAGCTGAAATTTAGGAGCAGCTGAATTGTGTGGCTTCATAAATAATTATAGTTAGAAATGAGATACAACACGACACCCTCAAGAGTGATGGGGATGGGCATGCATACGCGCTTCACTATATTTACTGGGCATAACATCAGTTTAGGCAGGTTGTGAAGTCTAGTTCGGCCACACAAAATAATAATTTTGTCTTTTTGAAAAAGACTGTTGCACTGTTATGTTCATTGTGAGGACTTAGACAGAGACAGGGATTATTCTCGCTTCCAGACACCACATGGGAGTGGTTCATCCTTATTCTAATTTTTCTAAATCCACAAGAGTATGTATTAAAGATAGATGAACCTACTATGACATCACTCATTTCTTAGGGAAGTCCCATTGTGAAGCTTCAAGATGGGCATTTTCTCTGTCCCCGTATTGGTGTTTTGAAACTGAATGTGAAGAGAGGAGTGAGAAACTGAGGAACACTGAACACTGGGCAATCTTTTCAAACGGCTGCAACATCTCCCTCTGTATAATCTGTGAATCTCTGAGATCCTGGACTGATATATCATAAAAATAGCGGTAAAAGCCGTCTCGACCGTACCCTGTAGTCTTCAACGGCAACGTCGCTGTTAGGCACCGCCCACATAAAAAAAGTATCCTGTATGATTAAAAGACGTGAAGCTAGCGTTTGAGCCCACAAAGTCATCAGGAAAGTGTTGACTGTGGATACAGTAAGAGTCCCTTGGCCTGTTTCCCTCTAGATTTCCATGCAACTATAAGTCTGTTTGCAACTACAGGAGGCATC